CCACAGCTGTCAGTCTCTGGGAGACCAGACGAATGCGATCATTGTCTCCATCTCTTCCTCTCCCTGTGTGACTGGGTAACACGCCTCCGGCCACTGCCAGAGGTTGGCCAGGTGTTGTCTGTCTCAGTTGTCTGGGAGTGAAAGGATTATATTTTTTTTACCTCCGGTAAGGTAGGGCGAAATGTTGGGCAAGTTTCCTCACTCCACATAATCGCCTCTAAGCAGTAAGTAGGAACCCAGTTGCTAGTCGAGCTGTGCCTCCGCTCGACTGGCACCGGCCTCTTGCTTGTCCATCGCATTCTCCGCCGTACCATCGGAGGGTGCGCTTTCAGCCTTTACTCCCTGAAACTCTGGAACTCTCTCCTTCAATCCCTCCAACTTACCCCCCGTCTCCCCCTTTTCAAGTTCCTTCTGAAAACCTTCCTTTTCGACTGTGCCGAGGGGCCCCCTCCTCCCTCCACCCCGGGCTCGGAATCAGGCTCCGCCAGTGTTAAGCGCTCTGAGACACTACCCTGCATGAATGGCGCTATAGTTGTTGTTGGTTTTAATAATAATAATAATAATCCTTGCATTTGATATAGCGCTTTTCACGTCGGGAGGACGTCCCAAAGCGCTTCACAGAACACACTGTAAAGTGAATTGACTGTATATTTGTGGGCGAACGCGGCAGCCAATTGCGCACAGCAATGTCCCACAAACAGTCGTAGATTGAAAATGACCAATTTAATTATTGTTTTGTGTTTTGGAGGGATTATTATTAGGCTCTGTGTGGAGTAAGGAAACGTGCCCAAGGTTTCGCCCTCTGCCTGGAATTGATCTCAGGTCTCTCGCTTGCAAAGCGAGTGCTCTAACCACTGAGCTACAGGACTCCACCTTTTGTTCGTATCCAATGAGCCAAGATGGAGTGAGGGGTTGAGGGGCTGAAGGCAGGGCGGAGGGGGGGTGTGGGGCACGTGGGGGGGAGGGGGGGTTGTGTGATGGGGGAGTTCTCATCGTCTTGTGCGCTCACTTTTCTAGATAACTGTCTGAGTGTCTGTGCAGCAATCGAGACTCTATTGATGTTCTAACCCATTTGGGCTGGACTGAAGCCAATTCAAACAGCTACACAGGATAACCCAGCTCACATAGCCCAGCGTAGCCTGGATAAACAGGGACCTTCCTGCTGTGTCCGGCACAGTGAAGCTCTGGAGTGCGAGCGAGTGATGTCAGCAAATTCAATTGTATAATCTCTTCTGGGAGAAATAAAACAAATCCTTTTCTTTCCCCCCCCCCCCCCTCTTCCCTTAAACATCGTGAATAACTTTACGCTTTTAACTTCGATACCGTGCTGGGTCTCTGGCCAGGGTTAGTGCTTGTGCTGGAGGGAATCCACGGCATTGTGTCTGGCTGTCGCCCGCCGTGTGTCTGCCTGTCGCCCGCCGTGTGTCTGCCTGTCGCCCGCCGTGTGTCTACCTGTTGCTGTGGCCGTATTTAGGCCTCGGGGGGTTTGATAATGATCGTGTGTGTGTGCCCATGTGGATGAGTGGTAACATTTGGGAATCTTATCCTGCTCAGCCTTGGGAATGCGGGAGTGTAGACAACAGCATAAACCACTAGGCAGACTGGGTAACTAATTGACCAGGTCAAGCCTGAGGGCTGATTAATTACCCTGTGCTCTGGTATACAGACACGTATGCAGTGGTTTCTGAACCAGTTTCATTGGCGTTCTTTGTCCGGGGAATGAAGGCTAATGACTGAAATGGTAGACACGTGTGTGTGTGTGCGTGCGTGCGTGCGCGCGCGCGCGTGTGTGTGTGTGTGCATGTGCTTACGTGTGTGTGGGAAAACAGGGTTCCTGGAGATTGAGTTATGGCCTCACTCTTGGGGGAGATTAATACTCCCCGAAAAACATTGTATCCTGTAAAACTTTTGGCACAAGTTCAGGTAAAGCTAGTTGCAGAGTTTCCCGCCTGTTGTTTTTGTCATCGATACCCGGGGCTACATTTCCATACCTCGCCAGCGGTGGGGAAGCTGCCCGTCATTCAACGGGGGCTCCAAACCTTTGTAGACAAAGAGACCAGTTGATTTACACTCTTGTTTTGCCTGTAACACGTACAAGCACCACGTCCCTGGAGCCTCCGGGCACAAAGCTGCCCAAGTGCCTGAGGCGTTGGTCTGGGGGAATGAATGCCTCATCTGTCCTCACGTCCTCGCTCTCTGCCCCACATGCTGTGAAAAGCGACGTCTTGAGAAGTTCCTACCGACTAAACGGTTACCCAACAGCCAAACTGTGCACAAACTGAGTAATTCAGACTTTGGCTAAAATACTGGTCTTGTCCCCCAAAAGAATATTGGCGCAGATGCAGTTGGTATATTTACTGAGTGTAAACTCGAGTTACCTCAGGTTTAATCCTTGCTGTGTCCAGCTTAACTGGTGAAGGCACTGACATTTCCCTTGGTTGCCACTGGGCTAGAGTGTATTGGGGTGTGTGTGGTTTTTTCCGATCCCTGCTGTGGGTTGGGAGCCCAACAACAACAACAAATTACAATAACAACTCGCACTTATATAGTGCCCTCCACACAGCGTCTCAGAGCGCTTAACAGTGGCAGAGCCTGACTCCGAGCCAGTGGGGGCGGTGGCCGTAAGCACGGTCGAAAAGGAAGGTTTTCAGGCGGGACTTGAAAAGTGGGGGGAGAAGGGGCAAGGCGGAGGGATTGAGGGAGTGTTCCAGGGTTTCGGGGCGTAGTGGCTGAAAGCACGACCTCCGATGGTGGGGCGGAGAGTGCGAGGGGACGAGCAGGAGGCCGATGTCAGCCGAGCGGAGGTGCTGAGTGGTGGACTGGGGGATTGAGGAGGTCGGAGACGGTAGGGAGTGAATGAATTTGACCACGAGTGTGAGGATCTTGAAGTCGATCGGTTCGGTGGTTGGGGGGGGGGGAAAGGCTGAAAGTCCGGTCGCCGATGGCTGGACCCGCTGAGTGGAAGGAGCGGGCAGGTCAGTAAGGGTTAGCAGGTCATAGAGATGGGGAGGAGCAAGACCATGGAAGGCTTTGAAAGGCAAGACCGAGGATTTTGAACTCTGCATTGCTGCCTCTGCGGGAGCCAGTGAGGCCGGGCGGGGATTGCTACAGGAGAGGACACGAGCTGTAAATCTCCCAACGTCAATAGCTCAGGGACACTGAGACCAATTATAGTTTTCTCTTCACCCCCACCCCTCGCCCCCACTCTGGCTAACTCAGCATATTCAGTGCTTGCATTTCAAGTGAGATCAGACTTCAAACTTCTGACTCCTGCTGTAGGCCTGATACGGCAGGAAACCAAGATTGACGACGTGCGGCTGAATCGGACGTTTCGTAGAAAATCGCGGGGAGATTTTCGCTGAGTCAAGTGGGCTGAGAAATCTTATCATCCAACACACAGAGCGAAACTTGGGGCCTGGGCTAGGGAGGGAGATTCACTCGGCCAATGAGCCAGTAAAAGCGAGAGCGAGGCCGAGACACAAACGAGGTCAACTTGTATCGCGCGCCTCACGCAGCGTGGCGTCCCAGAGCGCTTGAACACACGCGTAACCCTCACGGCATCAGTTCCGAGTTGCCCTTTCTCGGTGAGCGGACCTTATGGGTCAGGGAGAGGGACAATCAGCAGGAAAGTGGATAAATTGTGCTGCGGCTGTTTATCCAGATATGTACAGCGCTTGTCATTCCTGTCACAATAGGCAAGATGCACTAACTCAATACAGACGAGCGGCTTTAAAGGCTTTCCATAAACTGTTTATCTTCGTTTTGCAATAAGCAGTGGCTTTTTTTTAACCAGTTGAGCTGTGGGGGGGTGGGGGGTGTGGGGGGGTGCGAGGCCCTCGCCGCATGACATTTTGTTGAATAAATTCAGGGCAGTCGTTATGTAATGCAATGATGCAAGTGTGAGTGAGTGAGTGAGTGTCTTGTGTGTGGGTGTGAGGGGAGGAAGGGATCGTTAACCTACGAACAAGCGATTACTCTTGAGTCTAACCACAGGGTGACTGCAATACACTGCAGTACAGATTCTTCTTAAAATTTTTGCTTTTACTTCCTAACCCCCCCCCCCCCCCCACCCCCTTCGCCCCACAGATGGTTTCTTTTGTCTCCAAGGAGCATCGTTGGTGAGAAACGTTCACAAATCGCAGTTCAGCGTAGTGTGTGCGTACGGTAAAATGGTCACTAAGAATATTTTGCCTGATATGACAACTTCGGTGGTGGGTGGGGTGGGGGAGGGAGGGAGGGAGGGAGGGAGGAGATGCGGAGACGCGGAGACGGGTAGAGGAGGAAGCTAAGAATGACAGAATGCAAATAAAGGTTAAGAATCCATTATCATTGGGGTAAGGGTTAGGGTTACGGTGCAGAACTCATTTTGCTGTCTAGTTTTTAGTTGATAGGCGGAGGATTTTTTTTTTCGATTTGGAACACACGCCAGTGCGGTTGTGGGACGGGAAATGGAACGTCATGGGTTGGGGTGGTGGGGGGGGGAGGAAGAGAGGAAGGAGGGGGAGAGGGGGAAATAGGAGGGGCGTTGGCGTTTGCTCAGTAAAAAATGAGAGGTGACTCCTAGTCTAACCGTAAGGTGACGGCATTTAAAATTGTACACTTTTTTTTTTGTTTGGTCAGCTGAGCCTCTGACACATGCGGAAAAGCCATCACCATGGTGAGGAGCATCCAAAGCAAATAGGTTCCATGCATCCCACCACACTGGAGATTTTTTGAGACGGTGTGCTTTCAGCCCCCCCCGGCTCCCCCCCCATCTCCCCCCACCCACGGTTTCGATCGCTGCTAAGTTGTTACAGATTTTGCCGCAGTTATTACAGATGTTGAGGAAGTTGCCAAATCCCTGTCCGGTCGATAAGAGAAGCTGATCGTGAATCCCAGAGGTTTTTTTTTCCCATTTTTAAAAAGAATCTTTCTGCTTTTTTTTATTATCCTGGAACAAAGCTCTTGCGAAAGTTTTTCTTTAAACGGGGCCAGGCAGATGCAAGCAAGCAAGCAAGGAAGAAAGGGCTGTCAATTTATTTGTGAAATGTATCATCGAAGATCCCACGACATAAGTCGTAAAGGCAAGGGATTTCCTTCTTCCCTGCGCTCTGGCCAGCAATCCTCCAGATAAAATCACCATTCACCTCGTAGATGGACGCTGAGATCTTTAGACCTTTTTGAGCATGGCAAAAATCCCACAATCGGCACTGAAATGAATGACCGGTTTATCTGGAGGAGTGTTGGCCAGGACACAAAAGGCACTACAGTATATTACAAGATTGTAATCTGACTGTGAGGTACTGTCTGAGAAGCTTCAGTGCGAAACGTGCACTCGGAGGTGCGATGAAAATCTCCGCTCAATGTGACATGGCCATTTTTTTTAACACAAAATGTAACATTCCAGTTTGCTGCCCGGGGTGTTCTCTGATCTCTCGGATCATCCTCTAACATTGCTTTCGAAGCCTTCGCTGAATAGAGGCACGCACACGCAGGTGTGTGGGAGTGGCGTGCCCAGTTGACTTGACTTTCTCCTTTCCCTCCATCGACGCAGGACACGTTAAGGAATTTAACCTAGAACAGGAAAAGGTTATTGAGCCCATCACTTCAACAGCTCTTGTTCAGCTTATTCCCCTCGCATTGGCCCCTTGCCCCACCCTTGGCCCTTGTCGCTGCCACCTCACCTTTCGGCCACAGTCACTTCACTGCAATATTCTGGGAAGCTCTTGGACACGTTTCAATGATGCGATCAGGCACAGTATTAAATATAAGGATTATTATTATTATATTGATCAATATTCCCAGAAATGCATCCAGTTCTCTCTTGAAACCTCAGGCAGGGTGGTGGGTTTAGGAGTGGAGGCCCCTTTAGTTAGGATCCTGCTAGTTAGGTTTTACCTTGTTAGTCGGGTGCTAGTTGTGTTTATGCTGCTAGTTATTAATAATAATACTAACCCTTGCATTTGACATAGTGCCTTAACACGGTCATTGAGTCGTCTCAAAGCGCTTCACAGAACATATTGTCAAGTGGAGTGACTGTGTATTTTGTGGGCGAAACGCGGTAGCCAATTGCCCACGAACAGTTGTGAATTGAGTGACCACCAAATGCTTTGGGGGTTAGTTAGGTGCTGGTTGGGTTTACTCTGCTATTTAGGTGCCAGTCAGGACCTGCTCGTTCCCATTTAATTCCCATTCCCCACCCAGAGGCTGGGTTGCTCCTCATTAACTGTCTCTTCCCCTCGCGTTGCAGTTGGACGACCTGGACGCTCAGGAGATGCAGAGGCGACGCCGGGCGCTGCTGAACGGCATATGCGCGGCACACAACATGGTGACCCGCAAGCGCCGGATCCTGACCCCGGACGACCTCAAACACCTGGTGGTGGACGACAATCACGGGCTGCTCTACTGCTACGTCCCCAAGGTGGCCTGCACCAACTGGAAGAGGGTGATGATGGTCCTAACGGGAGATGGCAAGTACAGGGACCCGTTGAAAATTCCAGCCAATGAGGCCCACGTGCCTTCCAACTTGAAGGCCCTGAGCGAGTACAGCACTCCCGAGATCAACTACCGCCTGAGAAACTACCTCAAGTTCATCTTCGTGAGGGAGCCTTTCGAGCGCCTGGTCTCGGCCTACAGGAACAAGTTCACCAGGAAGTACAACACGGCCTTCCACAAGCGCTATGGCACCAAAATCGTCAAGCGCCACCGCCGGGACCCCAGCCCTGAGGCGGCCGAGAGGGGAGACGACGTGCGCTTCGAGGAATTCGTCTGGTACCTGGTCGATCCGAAGACGAGGAGGGAAGAGCCCTTCAATGAGCACTGGGAGACCGTGTACTCGCTCTGCCACCCCTGCCTCCTAAACTACGACATCATTGGCAAGTACGAGACGCTGCTACAGGATGCCAACTATGTCTTGGACCTGGTGGGGCCAGACCCCCCTATAAGGTTCCCCGCCTCCTCCAAAACCACACGGACCACCGACAACATGACAGCCAAGTTCTTCAAGAACATCAGCCCCTTTTACCAGAAGAAACTTTATAATTTATACAAACTTGACTTCTTACTCTTTAACTATTCCGTACCTTTGTACTTGAACATTCGGTGACCCAGCAAAAAAAAAAAAACCCCAGACATTCTTCTTTGAGGGTTAGGGGTTTTTTTTTCAAAGAAAAAAAAAGAACAACTTTTAACTGTGAGGGAATGTTTTTCCAAGACTTTTTTTTAACTTATTTGAGTAGTTTGTAAATCTGGACACTTTGATGCTTCTGATTTCTCGGCAGTGAATTCCTTGTTGTTGTGCTTTGCAATAATGGACTTTGGGTCTTGTCCATGGGATGGGGATTGGGATGGTGGAGTGGGGAGATGGTTAGGGGGGAATGGGGATGGTGGTGGGGGGAGAATTGCAGCATTTCATTGTTTGAGGGGGTTTCAGAAGAGAACTACAGTGGAGTTAATGCAAACGCACAGAGCAGACCGGCAAGTTGGAACGAATTTGGGGATTTTAGGCACGGTGTCCTCTTAAAGGTTACCACACATCTTAAGCATCATTCGAGGAATTATTTTTGTGTGTGAGGTGAGGGTGGGGGGGTGGAAATCTCTCTTTTTGTCTGGTCTTATCAGGTAGAATAATGGAACTCAGCTTCTGGGGAGAGGGGGAGAGAAAGTGACCAGAGAGAGAGAGAAAAAAAAAACTTCCAACGTTTCAAAATCTTCCAACGTTCCAAGACTTGACACCGTCGCACATAGGGAGGGATGACATTCGTTGATTTGGGGCTGTGCAATGGTCCCTTTAGGGAGAGGACCATCAGTTTTATACACAAAAAAGAAATATTGTCAAACTCTGGTCCCAGCCAAAAATTAATTCTTATAAAATGTCTTTGTTTTGATTGGCCATGTGTTGACTTTGTTGTCTCACCTTTATCAATAACAGTTTTTAGGCCTTTCCCTCCTGTTGGTGTACTGGTGAGTGAGCATTGTTTATGTGAGAGCCTGGCCTGCGGACAGGCAGGGTGGGGGGAAAGGGGGCCAGGGTGCGGTGGGGGGGCAGGGTGCGGGGGGGGCAGGGTGCGGGGGGGGCCAGGGTGCGGGGGGAGAGGGGGGGCAGGATGGGGCAGGGAAGGGGGAAACCATTGGTAAGTCACAACAGAGCCCTTGTTCCTGCTCTCGCCCGAGGCCTGAAATTCCACCTGGTTTTAGTCTTGAGTGCTAAAGCTTGGGCAGAGTTTTGGCAAATGCATAAGTTTCAAGGTTGGAAACCAATTTTCAGACGTTCTTACAAAGATGTGTGTGTGCCTGCGTGAGTTTTCACGGCGATAATATAGAGTCTTATCACCAGTGGGATTTCACGCCTGAGGTCTCCAGAGTTTTTGAGCTGGTCACCGGGTGAGGGGGTGTGGGCTAATTTCTCTTTTCAACAAGCCGTCAAGAGACCCTGCACCAGAGGACAGTGGAGATGTCAAATCCCTTTCTCTTGCCACTTTTGACAGCTTTTGGAAATTGCAAATAATGTTTCTCTTCCCAAACCACCCCCCACCACCACCATTCGCAAGGTCCATCCTGATTCATGTTATAGCAATGGTGCAGCGCTGTGTGGGTGTGGGTAGACCTTTGGTTTTGGAAGCTTCACGTTTCCTGTCTCCTGAAGCTGTGACTGTGAGGAGGTTGAGGTGACATCCCCGACCTCCCGCCCTGAAAGACGCTGTACAAATGTAATTTGTTCTTGTTAACGATGCTGTGATTAGAGAGAAAACGTGTTCTTGGGCTGACATTAAAGATTGCAGAGCAACTCCCCTGTCCGCAGCACCACCCCTTTCCTGACACAACTAACATTGGACTTTAATGACTGACGCATAGCGACACCTAGCGGCTAGAAACCAAGTGTGAGGTTGACTGCCGGCCAGCCACCAACACCGACTGGTACCTTGTCAGCCTTTGCAAACCTTTCCCATGTCCCGCTCCATCATTCTCAAAGATCGTCTCTGATGAGCTGCACGCAGTGGAACGAGAGAGCCAGGAACCCAGTGCCGAGCAGGTCTCCCATAGCGGTGAGGTAGGGGATTGAGAAGTTGTCAGGGTCCAGCCCTCTACGCCACGTCAGGCGAACGATCAGATCAGCTGCGTAGAGCAGGATACCCACCTGTTGTCAACAGGGAAGGAAACAATAAAGGGAATAACAGTGACCCGCCATTGCCTGTAACACTCTAACCTGCATCCCCAGCACCTAGGACGGCCATTCCGCTCTGCTTCATGTCTCCCATTTGTCCTGCCTCACCACCCCAGTGGTCGAGCTTTTAATTCTTCTGCGAGACAGCAGCTTTACCAAGTGAACCATCGGGAACGAGGATTGGTGTAAGCTTAAACTTATCCCAGGTAAACTGTCACATCTCCTCTCCCCATGTAATCTTCGACCTGCTCTCTCCACATCGAACTGTCCGCTCAGCGGGATCCCGCCTGCTCCATGACCATGGGTGGCCGGGCCTTCAGCCTCTCTGTCCCCACCCTTTGGAACTCGATCCCACAGTCCTTTCCTCGTTGCCCGCCTTCGGTCATCCTCATACCTCTAACCTCTACCCTCCCTGCCCCCTCCCCACCCCTTCTGATCCCAACCTCCCCCAGCTAGGATGCAAATCCATGACTGTCCAGTGCTTTGGGACGTCCTCCCGACGTGAAAGGCACTGTACAAATGTAACTTGTTGTCGTTTGATTTGCCTGTGTCCTCTACCATTACTCCCACTTGCTGTGTTGAGATGGAGGGGGGGAATCTGTTAGTTATTCAGGGTTTGCTTACCAAGGCAACTTGGCCACACCTGTACTGTGGTCTTACCTGCAGGAGGGCAGCCGTCAGATAGAAGAGGATTAAGGTAGGGGTGATGGGCAGGTGACCCCCCTGAAGGAGATGGATCGTATAGAGGAACAACAGGTGGCCAGGCACCACCAGCAGGAATAGGACACGGGCGGAAGTTGAATTCACACCTGACGAGGAGAACAAGATAAGTGACTTGCTTACAGTGGGTGAAAATGTACCTCCACACCGGACACTTACCCACTGTGCAGCAACAGGTAAAAATAAAAAAAATTCTATTATTTTTTAAATTACATTTTTTAAAAAATATATATTTATTTTCTATTACTTTTTATTTTCACCCGAGATGAGCAACTCCACCACCGCCCGCCCCATACGCAGACTGAGATATTAACTCACACATATAGAGATTTACATTTACACAACCACACCCACGGGGGCTGAGATATAATAATAATCCTTGGACTTGATACAGTGTCTTATGTCTTCGAGAAGTCTCAAAGCGCTTCACAGAATATATTGTAAAGTGAATTGGCTGTATATTTTGTGGGCGAAACGTGGCACACCTGCATGTACACATGCACACACGGACTGAGATATATATATATATGCTGTACGCATACACACGCATAACATTGGAACACTGACAGCTTCAGGGTGATAACAGGTGAAGGAATCTTCCCCTCCTGCGATCCTTTAGTTAGTTGTGAATGTTTGCGCGTTGACAAGACGAAGGAAATGAAGGAAACTGCATCTTAAGTTTCATTGCACCCGTCCGTTAACGTTTTTAAGTCTTTTTTAACATTACAAATTTGACTGCGTTTCCCCCACAAAATTCACACACTCCTAACGCTTTACGGTATGTCCTGAGAAGCGCTATGGGACTTCTTGATGACTGGAAAGGCGCTGTATCAAATGTAAGGATTATAATGATGTTTACATCCCACTTTTGCCGGCAGGTGTAGCGTGTGGAGACAGAGCGCACCTGAGCTGAAGAACACTGTGCAGGGATTGGGCCAGTTCTGACGCATCTTGTGGGGTAAGACTCCAGGTATGCTCCAGAAGTGCAGGAAGGTAGAGATGCGACTGGCCTGAATGGCAACAAGGTTTCCTCCAACACCTGGAAAACAGCCCAACCAGATGTTCGTCATTGATGCCTCACACCTGCACCTTATCCAGTCCTCGGCCCCTTCCCCATAGAGCCCTCCCTCCCCACCCCCCCTCCCAAATAGCCCTCATACACGAACCATATCACACCACTTCCAGGTTAGACATTTAGTAAAGCTCACTCTACACTGTCTGTCTACACTCCCAGGTCCGGGTTAGAGACAGAGACAGAGTAAAGCTCCCTCTACACTGTCTGCCCACACTCCCAGGACAGGGTTAGAAACAGAGTAAAGCTCCCTCCGCAATGTGTCACACAGCCGCAAGTATGGTGCGGGGGGGGGGGGGAAAAAAAGGGGGGGTGTTCCACAGAAGGTTTTAAATGAAAAGATATGAACCGTACCATTCATAACGGGAGTGAATACTGCCATGCCTTCGAAGCTGGGGTTTGTGACCGTTCTGTCCAATATGAGTCCTCCAACACTGAAACGTAGAGAAAGAACGGACATATGTTTGGCAGCAGAGACGCAGTTCTCGCCAAAAACACCCTCCCAACTTTTATCCCCTGTTAACGTCTAATTGTAAAGCGGGAGGACAAGTCAGCCTGTTATTTAGGGGCTCGCTACAGTGTCGGTTTGTTTTGATTGCGAGTCTCCTGTAGAGGTGAAGACTCCACCGTGGGATCACAGAGTCTCGCTGAGGAGCTCAAGTGGGTTACAACCAGGTTGTTGAATTCTGTGCGGTGGGGGGGGGAAGTCTCGCTGGGGAGGGGAAACCGCGCGGAAAAGGGAGCTGCACTGCAGGGTGGGTGGGGGGAGAGGCTAAACTGAGTAATGCCATACTAACAGTCTTGTCCCTCGACCCGCTCCACCATCGGCACCCACTACACCCCGAAACGTTGGAACTCTCTCCCTCAACACCTCCGCTTTGCCACCTCCTATCCCTCGTTCAGATCGCGACTGAGGACCTTCCTCTACGACCGTGCCCAAGGTCACCTCCTTCCTCCCGCCCGGCCTCAGGCTCCGCCATTTTTAAGCGCCACTCGAGAGTCTGCCCAGTGCGAAGGTCACTATATGATTCCAAGTTGCTGTTGTTCTGACCTGCTGATCGCCATCGCGGTGATGACTGGTTGCCAGCCAGACCGCAGCACCTCCTGGATGGCAGGACTCCTCTTGGCGATCAGCACCCAGACGGGGATCAGAGCAATAAAGAGAACGCACACCAACGGCGAGAGGTAAACGAGGTCTAGACACCAACGCGGAGAGACACAATCAGCACAGACAGCGGGACAGGAGGAACCGTCTCCGAATGGTTCAAGGCGAGGAGTGTGTGTGGAGATGGGGGGAAAATGTGAGTAGGGACAGGAGTTGAGATGGGTGGTGGTGGGAGGAGAATGAAGCGTGACTGCTTCCTGTCCTTCGGATGAGACGTTAAACCGAGGACCCGTCTGCCCGTACAGGTGGATGTCAAAGATCCCATGGCCCTGTTCCAAAAGAGAAGAGAGCTTCTCCCTCCTGGTGTCCTGTCCGACAATTCCCCCAAATAAAAATGGTCACTCGATCCACGGCCGATCGTAGGACTGGCTGCCGCGTTTCACCCACAAAACACAATGAGGTGCTAAATCAAACGTAAGGATTATTATCGTATATTTGCTCCCCCCCACACCACCGTCAGCTGTGGCTCGCCTCGGCTCCATACCGTACCGATGTGATTGAATAGAGTGCTGCTGATGCCGGCCAGGACGGAGAGCGTGATCAGGTCGCCAAGACTCGCTGCGATCGGTGTCGCCACGTTATCTGGGTTGATCCCAACTTTCCTGGAGACGAGGATGACTCCGATCATCACCAGCCCTGTGGGGAACAGCAGAAAAACACGATGGAAGGGGGAGAAGCGAGAGGGAAGGGTTAAGGAGGGGGGAGGGGGGCACAACAAGAACTTGGTGCTAAGCCCCCGGCCATTCAGTGATAAAGTCTGCTCGAATATCCCTCTCTGTATCTGCTGAATACAGATATCAGACAGGTATCCTTGTTTGCATGCTCTTCCACCATCGAACACATCCTAACCACAGCCCAGGAGGCCACAGCATAAGGTCTGGAGACTCAACAAGTACAACATATTGCATTTATTTAGCGCCTTTCACAAGCGGCAGGGTCCCGGAATGCTTTCTCAGCCACAGAGCTGAGCAGTCGCAGGCCTTCAACAGGCGAATGAAGCAATAAAATGGGAGAAACCCAACATCAGCCTTGAGTCAGCAGGCGTGGGAGTCAGTCTGGGGCGTATGTGCACATGGACTCTGGGAACCACAGAGATCAGCCGCGAAGAGCCCTGGGGAGTGTCGACAGACGGGCCCGACTGTGTATCAATCACGTTTCGCCCACAAAAGACTTATCGGAGACAGGATAAAGCGCTTTATGAAATACAAGAATTATTATTATCATTACCTCCTCACAAAGCTTTTCGTTTCAATCTCAGCAACCCAGCCCCAATTATTCGTAATAACTAATAATTATCCTTACATTTGATACGGCGCCTTATCAGGTCGTTGAGACGTCTCAAAGCGCTTCACAGGATATACTGTAAAGTGCGGTGACTGTGTATTTTGTGGGCGAAACGCGTCTGCCAGTTTGCGCACAGCAGCGTCCCCGCAAACCGCCATGGAGTGAGCGACCAATTTTATTTGGGGGATTGTTGGCCAGGACAGGACATCGAGAGAGAGAGAAAGTCTCTCCTCTTTTCGAGCAGTGCCATGGGATCTTTAACATCCACCCGAACAAGCAGACGGTTTGACGCCTCATCTCTGACAATTCAACACTCTCCCAGCACAACATCGGGGCGTCAGCTAAGACTGTGGATCCAAGCTCCCGAGGTAGAATTCTTGCCCATTCCCAGCACAGCGACAGCATCATATAAATCGGTCGATGTTTCTGACGGCCAGAGCCCAACAAACTGTGAGCAGGATGCATGGTTCTGGCCTAAAATGCCCTCTGGGTATATTATATCCAGACAGACATCGCACGAGAGGGAAGCATGTTCCATCTTCTCTCAATCTCTTGCTATTATTCGTCGCTTCTGCTACAGCTGTCGAACACCTGTGGTTTACCCGGTATCCAGCGCTGTTGGAGTCAGCAGCTGCGTCGCAGTTTCAAGCTCAGAGCTCCAGCAAGAAAGTTTTTTTTATGGGTGTTGGTTAATGTACTGGTTAATTTGATCTCTCGGTACCAGAACCTGGGTGTGAATTTAGCCCGGAGCATGGGAAAGAAACTCCCCTCCTTCTGGTTAGTGCAGCTGGCAGAGAGGAAGCCAGTCACGTTGTAAAGGCCACATCTGAATAGTTTACCCGTCTCTCTCTCTCTCTCTCAGATGCTGTGCACTCAATGTTCAATAAATGCACAGGAAGGACAGCAAAAGGTTATTTCCTTTTTGGGGTCTCAGCTACCCGACACCGCGCTGTATCAAACGCGAAGATGATTAATATTATTAATAATAAATCCACCGATTTCCGCTCACTGACTGGCGAGTTGGGAACCAGAGAGCGTACATTGTTTTTCTCTCGCGGACGGCTAAAAGCCAACAAAGTAGGGGCCAGGACAGATAGTTCCAGCCCACACTGCCCTCTGGGTATCTTTGTATTTAGACAAAGCACGAAGAGAGGACAAGAAGGGGAAAGTTGAGATAGAGTTTTTTATTTGTGTGCGAGCGACCAGAGGGGAGAGAGAATGTGAAATTCTCCGTCACAAACCTCTGCTGAGTCCGTAGCATTCTTTTATACCAATATCAAATGCGAGGATTATTATCATCATCATCATTATTGTTTTAAAAGGGAATTGGGATAGATGTTTGACGAGGCGGGATATGAACTGAACTGGGTGTGGGAAGGTAATAATCCCTCCAGGAAAAATTTGGTCACTCAATCCACGACTGTTTTGTGGGACACTGCTGTGCGCAATTGTCTGCCACGCTACACCCACAAAATACCCAGTCAATCCACTTCACAATATAACCTGTGAAGCGCTTTGAGACGTCTCGATGACATGATAAGGTGCTATATCAAATGCAAAGATTATTATTATTATTATATAAATGCAAGTTATTGTTCATAAGGGGGAACAGGGCAGGAGCAAAGCCGGGACCCTCCTACTCTGTACAGTTCTGTCCCATGCTTGGGGGAAACTCGTCTACCCCAGGTCTCTGTGGCACAGTTTATCTGCGAGCCTGTGGCAGGTAAGTGGTGAGACGGCAACTCAGAGAGGTTCAGGAAGCTCCGGGTCTCTGCTCCTAGTCCAGATTGAGAGAGTGAACATGCGTGTTGTAGGTGAGAGAGGATAGGATCAGGCTTGGCTATCATACTCTCTCCCCCCCACCCACCCACACACACATGCATATACCCACCAACGCAGTCACTGCTGACACCACTGTCCAGCCTTACTGGAGGGCAGCTGTAAACTGAGAAACTGACCTCAACCCAAGTTACATTCAGCCAAAAAAACCATATGCTGTTCACTGTGTGCACAGTGCCATCCTGTGGCAGTGAGACCCACAGAATGCGACGCCCTGAGTTACAGACAGACTCCCAGTCACTAGAGTCCACTCCTTTATTTGGCTGCGTTATCCCCCATGTTATAATGAACTTAGCTGCTCTCGTCGCTCTTCCTCCGGCCTCCTGTTCGCCCCTCGCTCCCTCCCCGCCAGCCATCGGTGGCCGTGCTTTCAACCACTATGCCCCCAAAAGCTCTGGAACTCTCTCTCTCTGAACCCCTCCGCCTTGCTCCATCCCTCCCCGCATTCAAATCCCGCCCAAAGACCTTTCATTTTGATCGTGCTCGCGGTGACCTTCCCTCCCCTCCTCCCCCCCACCCCCCCCGGCTTGGGGTCAGACTCCGTCACTGTCAAGCGCTTCAGGACGCTACCCCGTGCGAAGGGTGCCGTTGCTGTGGACGTCCCTGTTACCTAATGCCAGGGCGGCGATGAAAGCTGTGGCGATGCTGCTGGCGCAGAGAACGGCCGCTTGGTCCAGGTCCACTCGCCCGCTGGAGAAGGTGCCCAGGAGCACGGCGGCGATCGCTGCCAGGAAACCCACCACCGTAGCCTGGACCTGCCGTGGTAGACAGCACACATGGTCAACAGTATACGGGGAGTAAACGCACCAAGAGCACGGTCGGCACATGGCAAGCGCATGGTATTACGTGCTGGGTAAAGCAGGTACCGTCAGTGTTACCGTCAGAGCGAGAGCACAAACCTGGATCAAACCCAGGTTACAGATAACCATCTTCCACTTTTCACTTGGATCGTCCAGGTGGCCGGTATTAGCCTGCGAGGGATGGACGGAGAGAGAGAGTGAGTCAGAGAGTGAGTGAGTGAGTGAGTCTGAGTGAGTAGGAGAATGAGTGAGTGTGAGCAAGTTAGAGAGTGAGTGAAAGAGTGAGTGAGAGAGTGAGTGAGTTAGAGTGAGTAAGTGAGTAAAAGAGCGAGAGAGAAAGGGGGAGAGAGTCAGTCAGAGAGAGTGAGAGAAAAAGGGCAAGGAAATAAGAGAGAGTGAGTGAGAGAGTGAGCGAAGAAGGGGCGAGACACAGAGAAAGTGTGGGAGCGAGAGAGAAAAGGGAGTGAGAGAGAGCGAGAAAGGAAGACAAGAGTGGAGGAGAGAGAGAAGCTCACCGCTGTCGATAGCCTGGATGCCAACGTCATTTCCAGGTTGCCTTTGAGACCAACCAGGGCAGGAACCAGGATGAAGAGCTCGGAGATGTTTTGGAACACAGTCCAGTGCTGCCGAGAGAGAGGGGGAGAGAAAAGAGCACAGTTGTGAACAGTACCTCAGGGTGGATCAGCGAGTCTCGACCCCAGGATAGATTAGTGCCCCTCTCCCTCGCTGGTGAACTCCGAGATGCTTTAGCCGGAGTGAAGGGCGCTACGTAAACGCAACAACAACTTACACCCGTACAGCGCCTTTCACATCAGGCTGACGTTCCCAAGGTGCTGGACAGTCAGGTGGTTGTTGGGATCAGGAGGGGCGGTTGGGATCAGGAGGGGTGGAGGCTGGGGAGGGTAAGGGTAAGGGGTGGGGGGGGGGGGGGGGGGGTGACAAGGCAAGTTGTTGTTGTTGGCACACAACCAGGGACAGCTTCACGAGACTGTCGTTAAACACTCAAACACCACAGGGTTGTGGCAGAGGCAGAGACTTGTGGACCTGTTGCATGCTCTCCCTCAGTGAGCTTCCTTGGATTTGAAGATAACATTCTGCTTTGAACAAGGAAGGAGAGGATGTCCTGCAGAGCAGATCAGGGGGTTTAGGTCAACTGTGGAAACCCCCGCCAACTATCCTTTCCACCCATTGGACCCTCACTGATAAACCCTAAGCCACGGAAGGATTCTTGGCAACGTTTCTGCTTTTTTTAAAAAAAAACGTCAAAATATCAACATGTTATATATGATAATAATCCTTGCATTTGACCCAGCGCCTCGTCACGTCTTCGAGACGTTTCAAAGCGCTTCACAGAATATACTGGAAAGTGAATTGACTGTATTTTGTGAGCGAAGCAGAAGTTTGAACTGGATGGAACTCGGTCTTCTTTCGTCCGGCTTCTTTCTTACGGCCTCACGACAGCGAATCCTTCACCGTAAACCGACAGCAGTTAGATACGTCCATTAATCAGAGTGATAAACACAGGGTGCATAAGACACGGGATAGATGCGAGGCTGCTCTAGTGGGAACTAAATTAGACTGGGAACGTCGCTGGTCAGAACTATTTGAGATCCACCTACCAGCAGCTGCTTACTATAAGTGAGGGTGTGGAGAAAACAAGCTGCCGTGATCCAATAACAGGGAGGGACAAGGACAGGCTGGGATGACCCGGAATTACCTCTTCCGGATCTTACAGTAATAGGTTAGACCAGGGATCATGTAATGATCCAAAGTAAGACAGTTCTGATGAGAGTAGGGCAGCCTCCAGTGCAGACAGACCAGCTCACAGCTTTCCAATCAACAGAGTGTTGCTGCTCCGACTGATTTAACTTCCCTGACCAGGCTCGCTTTCCTCCACCAGCCTCGCATTGCTCACCTCCAACCCTACCTTACCCCCGAAAGCAACCAAAATCCTCATCCACGCGTTCGTCACCCCCCCCCCACTTCGATTATTCCAACGCCCTCCACCGGTTTCCCCAGCTCCACCATTCATAAAACGCAGCTGATTCAAAACTTTGCCGCCCGTATCGTCACCCACACAAAACCCCACGACTCCAGCCCTCGCCAGGCTCCGCTGGCTTCCCATCGCGGAACGGATCGATTTCAAGACCCTCACACTCGCGTACAAATCACTGCATGCCCTGGCGCCTCCGACCTGCTTACACCCCTCTCCCAACACCAGCCGCCTCCCCCCAGCTGGCTCCGGCCTCCTGTTTGTTCCCTCGTCCACTCCACCATCGGCGGCCGTGCTTTCAGCCGCTACGCTCCGAAATTAGGGGACTCTCTTCCTCGTTCCCTCCTCTTTGACCGCTTTCAAATCACACCCGAAGAGCTTCTTCTTGAACCTTCCCTACAGTCACCTCCCCACTCTCCCACGTTAGGCATCAAGCTCCGAGACCCTATCCCGCATGAAGGGCGCTATATAAATGCACGTTGTTGTTGTTGTTATTGTGATTTGAGTCCAGTTACCAGCGCAGGATCCAGCAGCTGGGATGTGATGGTGAAGGTTACCCCCGTTAGTTTGCGGGTGAATTGTCTCATTTTGTTGGCAGAGAAGCAAAGCTCCATCTCCAACTGGGTCACCAGCATCGCCCACCCCCCCATCATCTCAGAGACTCAGTGTCAGCTTCCAGCACATCCACACGTTGACTAAATCTCCCCCTCTACTCCGTCGCTCCAATGTACCGAATGGGGGGGGCGGTGTGTAGAGGGAGGTTTTACTCTGTCTCTAACCCGTGCTGTAGCTGACCTTGGGAGAGCGAGAAAGAGCGAGAAAGAAAGAGAAAGCGAGCACGAGAGAAAGGGAGAGCAAAAGGTAGAACACGAGCGAGCGAGAGAGAGAGAAAGAGAGGCGGAGCGAGAGAGAACACAAGAAATATAGCATGAGAGAAAGCGAGAGCCAGCAAACGAGAGAAAGACCAAGAGCGAGAAAAGGAGAAGTTTTGCCTTATAGTAATCCTTGCATTTGACATAGTGCCTGATCACGTCGCCGAGACATCTCGAAGCGCTTCACTGGATGTACTGTAGAGTGGAGTGACTGTGGATACTGTGGGCAAAGTGTGGCAGCCAGTTGCCACACAGGAATGTCCCACAAACAGCCACGGAGAGTGAGCGATCGAGAGTGTTGGCCAGGACACCGGGAAAGCAGAGGGACTGACGACCACGATGAGAGTGACAAGTGGCGTTTGACGGAGAAGGACGTGAGCTCACCCACCTGAACGTGATCCAGCACCATCCCTGCCATCACCATGCCCAGCCCTGCCAACACGTAGGGCACCAGCACTTGCAGACAGAAGGTGAAGGATGACTCGTCGCTGGGTTTCTTCACCATCACCTTCTCGGCCGGGCTCGGGGGAGCGGGCCGGACCACGCTGTCGGCCACGGCGCTCATCTGCTTGCCGCTACCCCTCGCCTTGACGCCCCTCTTGGGCTGGTCACCATTTTTTGATCTCCCCTCCTTGTTCTTCTTCCTTTTCCTGCCTTGTTCCATGCTTCCCGATCTCAAGGGGGGGGTTTCCTGTAAAATAATGACCGCTGATAATAATAATCATCCTTGCACTCGATACCATTTGATGCATTTAAAGCGTGCTGGGACACTACCCTGCGTGAAGGGCGCTATATAAATACAAGTTGCAAGACCCACCTCAAGACCCTCCTCTTCGACCGTGCTTTCGATCTCCCAGCTTCCCTCCCCCCCACCCTGCCCTCCACCCTGCCTCGGGTCCATAACTCTGTCCAGCTCCTTGGGACGTCCTCCCGATGTGAAAGGCACTGTGCAAATGTAACTTTGTTGTTATGGTTGTTGTTGTTGTTGTATAACGCCTTATCACGTCATTGAGACGTCTCAAAGCGCTTCACAGAATACAATGTAAAGTGAATTGATTCTATATATTTTCTTGGCTAATCGTGGCAGCCAATTGCGCACAACAGTGTCCCACAAACACTCGTGGATTGAGTGACCAAGTTATTATCTCAGAGTGTCTCCACAATACCCGTGCCCAGTATCACACTCTGAGGCATCCCTTCGCTGGATAAAGCTAAACTGTGTGGCCTCCGCACCAACGGAAGGAAAAGAGGGATGTTTCCTCCCTCCACTGCCCCTAAACCCTTCCACCCCCACACCCACCAGATTTGTTCCCAGCGCAGGCCGCTGGTGAGACATTGATGCCTCAGAGCATGTGCGAGTCTCAGTGTAGCCCATACATCACACACTCCCCACAAACACCATTTCAGCACTCCCCCCCCCACCCAACAGGTCCCGCCTCAACCAGATAGACCATGTCTCCACCTGCTAGCCCCACCCCTAACCCCCAATATACCCCAAAAGGCAGGTTTCTCTCTCCCCCATCCCCCGTCTACCTGCGGTTGGGGGGTGAGATGTGGACTGGTTTCCCCCATTGGGGTGGGTGCTGAGATCCCACAATCTGCTGCTGTCCTCACCCAGTTGCCCTCTGTAGGGGTTGGCAGCTGCAGTGCAGCCAAATTTCTCCTGCAATTAACTCAGGACCATGAGGCTAATGAAGGCCCCTTCAAGTATTGATCTCAGTCACCTGGGGGCACGGGAGAGATTTGAACACGAAACCCTCCCCAATCTCTGGCTCAGCTGATCGGTGAATCGAGGGAGGGGAGAGGAACGCAACGTGAAGCTGTGTTAATAAAGATCGTGTCATTCACTCAGAGGATCAGACACCGAGATTTTTCTGCAGACAGAACTTAGCAACAGAGCCTTGTTAGTGCACTGTTAAGACTTCAAACACTTTACTGGCAACGACTTCCCACACCACAGTTTACTTACAATTAGACGCTGGTGGCAGATGTCCTGCTCTTTTTTTTTTGCACTTAAAAATGTATCAGGGCAGCAGTTTCTGGGTTCCTAAGCAGGTTTTGGGTAAGCGTGAGATTTCGCAACCCACTCGGCAGCTTAATCAGATGTGTGCAGACAGACAGAGCACAGGGTTTATTTTTACCCTCTGGGAGCCGGCGATCAGCTTCACGATTCAGGTTACACTCGGCTGTGCTGAGTTGGCCCTTGCTTTCAAGACCCCGAAGACATTTAAAGCGATCTGTTTAAAGTGACCACAGGGCAGGGTTAGCGAGCGAGTGAGTGAGTGAGTGAGGCCAACACAGGCCATGCATTAGTGAGTCAGTCTGCTTCCTGGTCAGAATGTGCCATACATCACTGGTGATTGCTAATTGCAAACATCCCATTAAAACCCACAACAGCCGCAACACAGAGCAAATTAAACCAATATAACAATAATATTCCTTGCATTTGATACCGTGCCTCATCACGTCATCGAGACTCCTCAAGAGCGGCCGCAGGATTTACTGTAAAGTGGATTGACTTGTGTACTTTGTGGGAGAAACGCTTTTCTGGGCCAGTTTGTACCCAGCTATGTCCTACAAACAGCCGTGGAATTTTACTTGGGGGAGGGGGGGGGGGATTTTTGGTTGGCCAGGACACTGGCAGATGATCCATTTTCCTTTGAAAGAACGTCATGGGATCTTTAACGTCCACCTGAACAGGCAGGCAGGGCCTTGGGTTAATGTCTCATCCGAAGGATGGCACCTCCAACAATGCAAGACTGCATTGCAGTGTCAGCTTAGAATATACAAGTCCAAGTCCCAACGTGGGGCTTGAACCCGCAACCTCAGAGAAGCGAGTGCTAACCACTGAGCCAGGCTGACGCACAAATAATCCTTACATTTGACATAGTCACTTCAGTGGAATGACTCAGAAAATCACTGCGCAAAATACACTGCAAAGTGTGGTGACTATTTCGTAGGCAAATTTGAGCACCGCAATTAACTCACCAAGAGCCGCGAAGCGACTGACGTAATTTAACGGTCGGCCAGGATACGGGGTAGATTCTCCTTTCCCGCGCCCCAGGGTCTTTCGTGTCCACCTAAACAGGCAGACAGGACCTCGGTTTGAAAGTCTCGTCTGAAGAATGGCGCCTCCGACAATGAGACTCTCCCCTCGCACCCACACTGGAGTGCCGGTCTAGAGTGCAAGCTTAAAATCTATATCAATGCGGGGCTTGACCCCCACAACCTTTCGACCTCGAGATGAGAGTATTTCCAGGTGAGGTTTAAATTCCCAGCATCAACCTCTGTGTACACTTGGCGCTGAGTGTCAATCCAATTACAGGAACATTTGGCAATTCAAGTTGGATTTTATTCACAGCAAGCGCAACTTAATTTACAGCCAGGAATCTTTTCACTCTGCCAAGAGCAAAATAGAGCAGACCCAAAGGCAAAGATAACATCAATCTGCACGGTTACATATTTTCAGGGGTCAGAAACAATTAAAACAATCTGTTACACTGGCTACTGCGACTTTTCAAGGGGGATTCACGTACAGTATTAGTGACTGTCTCCTTCTGGCGTTTTGGATGGGTTTTCACCCTCATGCGTTCCGTTTTCTCTGCTGAAGCAGCCGGACCTGAAGAGCGTCTTAACACACGCGCACAGGCCCCGCAAACACGCACAGACACACAAACATAAGGAAAATAAGCCTTGCATTCGATTCCGTGCCTCCCCCGTCAAAGCTCCGCTGGAAGATTTACTGTCACGTGTAGTAACTGTATATTTTTCACATACTCACACACAGACACACACACGTTAACAATCATGAAGTGGAATCTTGGCTGCCTTTACTGCGAGCTCTCGTGTGCTGAGGCCACTGAAAGCTATCAACTGAGATTAGCTAAATCAACATGGAGCTGGGATTGAACCTGGGCCCTTCCATATGTGAATAGCTCAGGCTCCCGCTGGACGGTACCTCTTGTAATTGATGCGCGATGCTGCCTATGTTTGTAGCGGAGGGTTTGATGCAGACGAGACAGCTGCAGAACACATTCCCTCGGCTCCAGGCTGCTCCCCCCATTCCTCCACTCTGTACAGTCCTGAGCTGCAAAAACTTCGACCCGAACGAGGAGAGTGTCCTCGTGCTGTGGGCCACTGGTCTCGATGGATCGTCACCACTAAATCAGTCTCGATTCCACACCCAGCAAATGGCCATGTGATAGAGCGTGACAGAGCGTGTGGTGTGTGAACACGCTAACATCGGAGCGTGACAGAGCATGTGCTGTGCGAACACGCTAACATCAGAGCGTGACAGAGCGTGTGGTGTGTGAACACACTAACATCGGAGCGTGACGGAGCGTGTACGGTGTGAACACGCTAACACCAGAGCGTGACAGAGTGCGGCCTGTGAACAGAATTAACGAGTCTGGCTGGCGGGTCGCAGGTCTCACAAACATTCGGCTCTGCACTGGCTCCAGCAAACACTTTAATAGTTTTGAAAGTATAAACAATTTAGTACACAGAGCACCAGACCGCTCAGATATAATAATAATAATAATAATAATCCTTGCATTTGATATAGCGCCTTATCACGTCGTTGAGACTTCTCAAAGCGCTTCGCTGATTATACTGTAAAGTGAACTGACTGGGTAATTTGTGGGAGAAAGGTGACAGGTAATGGCGCACAGCAGTATCCCACAAACAGTCGTGGATTGAGCGACCAAATTATGAAATTACTATTTTTTAAAGAGATTATTACTTATAAAAAATGAGATATTAGCGAACAGACTGCTCCCATTGGGCATGTTAAACACGGCAACAGGCAATAGAATCAGAGAAACCTTCAGCACGGGAGACGATCAGACCCAGTTCGTGATCCTGGGCTGTGCCGTTAGCTGATCTGACTGAAGCCACGATGTGGAGACGACAGTCTAGCTCTGTACCAGGGGTGTCCACAAAGTCCTCTTAGCCCCTCGTTACAAAACAGCGGTATGAGACACCAGAGGAACTGAAACAAGCTGCCGAGGGATGCATTTCACCTCCTCACTCCATCCATGTCACAACGAACATGGTAACGGTTCATTATCTACCATGAAAAATCACGGTCCTCACACACACACACACACACTGATCCTCTGGATGTCTAAATACAGTTAAACACTTGTACTGAATACAATTAAGTGCTTATGAATACAATGATCATCATTCTTCTACATGTTTCAGTTGTTGGTCAATGCACAACTGGTGGGGTGGGGGATAAACATGGACTTTGTGAACACCCTATACTGCAGCTCTGTGCTCCAGTCGTGCATTGAAACAACCAAAATAGCTCTGGTTGTAAGATCACATAGCCATGCATACAGAGAAAATTCTCTCCTCTCCACCTTCAGTTAAACTCTCTGAAGAGGTACAAATCAATGAAAGGGGTTAAACAGGAGTTTGGAAATTGTTGAACACTTGAGTTTGGTACCTTTCCATCGACCGGCATCAGCTGAAACATCAAACAACTACCCGCGATAGTCTTGAGATCAGAAAACTGAATTAAAATTCCATTAAAAACAGATCATTGTTAACTTTGAAGTGAAATCAATTCGAGATGGGTTTCGGCGATGGCATGTCTTAAATTATCACTTTGCTCCGTTACTCCGGTAATATCTTTTTCTTCGTTAATATTCAATGGTAACTGCTTTGGTCCTGAGATACTCGTTTAAAGCATCTTGCCCTGTACAGAGAGAGAGAGAGAGAGAGAGAGAGAGAGAAGTGTAACAACCAGAATAAACAGTGCCAGACCGCTTTTGAGACATCAACCTATCTGTTCCTCTGTGCGTTTCTAGCATATTTAACAGAAGAAGTGCACAATCTGTAGAGAACAGTTCCACCCGTTCAATGGCGGATTCTCCTTTTCCTAATTCACTTAATTCTTCCGATGGTGAAATATATTCACGTTTCCCCTTTATTTATCCACGTTGCTTGCCTGACTTGTTGCTGGATGCTGACAATGACAATGATACTTCCTATAATTCGCCCCGAGATGGCGCCAGTATCTGTCTTGGCCAGGATTCTACTTCCCTATCTGCCGCCCCCTCCATCCCATTCCCTGATAGGCATCCCGGCCTCTGAACCTTCGTGAATTCCCAAACCATCTTTAGCGCAGACAACCCTTGTCTCTCCAGGCCTGTAGCTCCACCAATAATAATGGTAATATTAATAATCCTTGTATCTGACATAGCGCCTTATCACCTCTTCGAGACGTCTCAAAGTGCTTCACAGGATCTTACTGTAAAGTGGATTAACTGTGTATTTAAATAAAAATACACAATATTTAACATTAATGTATATTTATTTAAGATATAAATATATAAACGGGTTCCTCTGTTGGTGTTAACTGTTACTCTTCTCTGGACGCATCTCCTACCCAGGTCTTTGCCGAATCCCGACTGCTTGAAGCCCCCGAAAGGGGCAGCGACGTCCGTCTTGTTGTAGGTGTTGATGAAGACGGTTCCCGCGTGCAGTTTGTCGCTCACGTACATAGCCTTGTTGATGTCTCGGGTGAAGACCCCGGAAGCCAGACCAAACTCGGTGTCGTTGGCCCGTTTCAGCACACCATCAATATCCCTGTGATGGCAAACCCAGGAGTTAGTGATGAATCTTAAAGCCATCACTGACGGGTCAGACAGGAACGTAAACCTCTTTGATGTATTGAGTTGTTTCACATTAAAGGTCGGCAGCTTATTGAACGGCACAATAGATTCCCCAGGGCTCAGTGTTAATGGACCAGAAAGGTCTCAGATTTGTTGCGTCCCAAGTTAGCTGATCTCAGGCAGAGCGACAATACTGTGCAACAATTGCCCAGAATCTCCCTGGGGTGAGGAGAAGGCAAGACATTCACTGAGGTCCAATGTGCTTTGGGTGTACGGTAAACACAGGATTGGGCTGGACTCTCATGTCTCTCAAGCCTCGTCTGTGGTCAAATGGTTGGTTTAGGAACAGCCACTTTGGTGCCCAGAGAACCAGAAAAGTCATTAGTGTTATTTTTATATTATTATTAAGTCAGTGACATCCAGAGAGGAACAGACAGCGACCTGGTCTTCGTATATTCAGACCACAGGACCCATATTCATATTAAGTGAAAGGTGAAGTTGTGAACGATGCAGACTAAAGAGAACAATTATAATAATGTAGAAAGGTAATAAAAATACCATTGGTATCTTGCAGCGGAGATTTTCCTGACCCTGAGTTATAGTCAGAGTCACAAGGCACACACAGGTCAGGCTGGGACCCCTGTGTGTCAGTCTCTGCCTGTCGCTCACTGTCTCTCCTCTGTCATCCACTCCCTGTCACCTCTCTGTGTCACTCCCTGTCTCTCACTCCGCGTCACCTCCTCTGTGTCACTCCCTGTGACACTCCCTGTCTCTCACTCCCTGTCACCTCCTCTGTATCACTCCCTGCGTCACTCCCTGTCTCTCACTCCATGTCACCTCCTCCGTGTCACTCCCTGTCTCTGACTCCGCGTCGGCTCCTCTGTGTCACTAAGCTCCTTGGGGAGGGAGGGTTCACAGCGTCACGTACCCATTGGCGAACTTGGAGATGATCATGACCGGCCCAAAGGACTCCTCCGTGGCGATGAACATGTTGTCCTGCACGTTGGTGAACACGGTCGGTTCAAAGAAAAAGCCTGGAATGTAAAAAGTCTTTATATATAATGTTCCCCAGGCCGGGGGTGGGGGTGGGGGTGGGGGGGAAGGGGTGTTAACATATGTGCACAAGGTACATAGAGCAAACATATTATACAGAATATAACAGTTACATATACACAGCATATATAATGTTTATATATATATATATGTACCCACTCACCATCTCTCGCAGAGTATATAATGTTCATACCCACACACAGTATATAAGGATGTTGCACAGGTCGAACAGGTTAATGAAAATGGTTTCAAACTCAACCCTCAGCTATCCTCTCGCTCGGTCACAGCATTCAGTTCATCCTGAAATCATCTGTCCTTTCAGTAGTTTTGATTCCTAAGCAGCTGTAACCTCACACAAGCACATCTAAAAAGCCGGTGCTCACTTACCTGGTCTAGAGACCTGTTTCCCACCGCACACTAACGTGGCTCCTTCCTTCACCCCCGCGGCACAGTACTGGACCAGCTTGTCCAGGTGAGCTTTGTGGTTTTGGGGACCGTGGTCTGTGGACCTGTCCAGCGGGTCCCCGATCTTCATCTTCTTCACTTCCGCTGTCTGCGAGGAGGAAAGACATGGCTGTGAAGCAATGCGTATGGGAAAGGCAGCAAAACATCCCGCATTTGTACGCATGAACATTAGAACATAAGAATTTGCTAAGTGAAAGAAGACCAAAGCCCATCTAGTTCGCCTTATGATAATAATAATCCTTACATTTGATATAGCGCCTGATCACGTCTTCGAGACGTCTCAAAGCGCTTCATAGAATATACTGTAAAATAAATTGACTGTGTATTTTGTGGGTGAAACGCAGCAGCCAATTGCGCACAGCAGCGTCCACAAACATCCGTGGATTGAGTGACCAATTTTTTTTTTTTGAAGGGATTATTACCCCCAGAGAAGCGATCCGCCAATCGACTAACAACCGGGTTCCTACTTACTGATAGGTAAAGAGAGGCGTGTGGAGTAAGGAAATTTGGCTAATGTTTTAGCCTTGCTGGGAATCGAACCCAGGTCTCTTGCTTGCGAGGCGAGTGCTCTAACTGAGCTACAGGACTCCGTCAACCATCCTGGCACTCGCTTTACATGTTGTGTCCCAAAGTATATACTGCACATCCGAGATATTATTTTCACATTATCTTTCACATTATCTTTAATAAGTGAGAGAACAAATGAATAGTAAAGAACTTTAGGGAGAGATTAATGTGGGTTTTATTCGGTCCATCCCACCATCAGTGAGCAAAGACTTCAACTAATAATTCCTCTGAACTCTCTTCCTAAACCACGCAACCCTGCTTCTTCTCCCCTGCATTTAAACTCCCTAAAAAAACACATTTTTTTAAAAACACGTATTAAAAAAAATTAAAGAATTAAAAAAAAATTATTCTTTAAGTCGCTGAAATAGTAATGTGTATTTTTCTCACCAGGAAGAGAACAGTTTCCATCACTCACCACTTTGCTGAGGAACTGATCGTGGATGGATTCTTCGATGAAGAGCCTTCCTGCGGCAATGCAGTTTTCCCCTTTATTGAAGAACACAGCGCCCATTCCCTGGGGGGAGACACAGTGAAGATAATCGTGAGATCCCAACTCCAGCACAGTCAAGAACAGGAGGAGAGCAGACGTTCCAATGAGCTATTTTATCATCCTCCTAATCCCAAAATACACAGTCACTCCACTTTACAATATATCCTGTAAAGCGCTTTGAGACATCCCGATGGCGTGATATCAAATACAAGGATTATTATTATTATTTCCCTTGCTTTCCTCCACACGCCTGACTCCCACTCTCTAACACGTGATGAAAGGATTGCTTGTGCAGTGAATGGCGTGTAGTTGAGCCAGCACTAACAACAACACCTTGCATTTATGTAGCGCCCTTCATGTGGGGGTAGCATCCAAGAACACTCGACCAGTGGGTGTGTGGGGCAGTGACTGATTCAGGATCAATTAACTCCTTCCAGAAACTACTGGGGATGTGCATCCAGGAACGAGATTGAAGGTTATGGAGATGCGTATTGGACAGATATTCATCCTTGCATTTGCTATAGCGTCTTATCACGTCGAGACATCTCAAAGCTCTTCACAGGATTTTACTGGTGTGTTTTGTGGGTGAATGCGGCAGACAATTTGCGCACAGGAAAGATGTCGGGTTCCTGTTACAAGATGGTGTCTTTGCCCAGTGTCCCACATCTCCCGAGTGAGATCGACAGTCTAGCCTGAGGCAACAGCAGTTGCTGTTGTTGTGAACCCACAGTCGCTGAGATGTGAGTTGAGACAGTCCCAAAATCTTTTCAAACGTAGAGCCAACAGACAAGAGTAGACTTTCATCCAATCAGTCAGACCAGGATGACTCAAACGTGGGTTCAGAGGTGAAAATAGGGTACCAATTCACTTCCTCCCAACCTTCCAGCTTCAGCACCTCTAACTCCCCTCCCCAGCTTACCAGCCGCACAGCCTTGTCCAGGTCGCAGTCGCTGAAATGATGAGTGGAGATTTTCCCCCCAGCTCCAGGGAAACCTTCTTCACATTACTAACTGCACAGCTGAGGGGAGAAAGCACAGAAATCTGAACACAAGGGAATCTTCCCACTCGGCTCCTGTTTACCCTGCAGGCAAAAGCTCTAATGGGCAGGGTGGTCATAGCTGGGCAAGCAGGGGGCAAGTTATGTGGTTAAACTCCAGCAGTACCCCAGCGCACAATCTGGGGTCTCCAAGCCTCGGCTCTTGCCAACCCGCTGGATACTCTTAAACATGATGATGGGTTTCCGTATGTGTCAGACACCCGGCTGACCAAAAACCAAACCAAAGTCAGCGACCCCCTCCACTTGGTCAGCACCACTTTCCTCTCACTGATGATCACAAGGTTGAAGAAACCTTCAGGGTGAAGAAAGGCCTTCGGCCGATCTGATCTCATTCCTCCAGAACACCCACCCTCCCCTCCATCACTACATCAAGCTGCTTTTTAAATGAGTCCAGTGTCCTGGCCTCAACCATCTTTCTTGGCAACTTGTTCAATGCTCTTCCCACCTCTTCTGGTTGCCTCGGGACCTCATCCATGTGTCCACCCTTCCCATATGGACAGGAGAAGCCCCTCGAGCCTGTTCCACCATTCTATTAGATCATGGCTGATCTGTACCTCATTGCTTGATATTCCTTTATACCCTTACCTAACAAAAATCTATCCACCTCGGTCCATGTGAGCCGAGTGTTGGTAGGGGCATGGGGGAAGGGATCCTAATTCCCGGTTACTCTACCTTCTGACCATTTACCTTTTCATGATCTGTTTGCCAATTGGCGTAGACCCAGTGAAGCCAACTTTTCTCACGTCCGGGTGATCGGCTATTCTCTGTCCGATCAACGAACCTGACAGAGAGAGAGCGAGAGAGAGACAGAAATGTTATCAAGTACCCCGGGACGCTATCCCATGTGAAGGGCGCTATATAAATGCAAGTTACTGTTGTTGTTACTGTGGCTGGACAGATCTTGGACGGAGGAAAGAGGCGATTGGGTTTTTACAAAGCTTCATCTAAACAATGCTCCCGCCCGGCTCTGCCCACGTACCTGCTCCTGGTAAGATATTAACAACACCCTTTGGGAATCCGGCCTTCACCGTTAGTTCGGAAAATTTCAGAGCCGTCAAGGGTGTTACCTGTCGGAATCAATGAACGAGGGAATGAGAGGATTTCCTGCATTTAAGCCACTGCTGAGAAGCCTTCCCACAGCCCTCACACGGAGAACCTTCTCCCACACAATCCCCACCCCCAACTGGGGGCTTCACAGAGAAAAAAACTCGGTATGACCTGGTTTATTCGATAAAAGAGTCCCATGGCGTGGTAGGTTAGAGCACTCGCCTCGCAAGCAAGAGGACATGGTTCGATACCCAGGCAGTTTTCTTACTCCACACGCCTCTAATTACCTAACAGTAAGTAGGAACCCGGCTATTAGCCGATTAGCAGATCACTTTCTCTCCAAAAAAATAAAAGATTGGGTTACTCAATCCACGACCTTTGAAAAAGCGCTTTGGGATGTCTCAACAAAGTGATAAGGCGCTATATTATTTAATGCCTGTGCTCGGGAATAATGGTGTAAATGTTCGGTCGTCACTGACCTGTGCTGGCTTCAGGACCACAGTGTTACCGGCGGCAAGGCAGGCTGCCGTCTTCCACGCCAACATCATGAGCGGGTAGTTCCATGGGATAACGATGCCACAGACCCTGTTTCCCGGATCAGCGAGAGAGATTCATTCAGATTTATTCAGATAAACAACCACTGACCCCCATAGCGACCACATTCACGTGAAACCCACATCCAGGTACGTGAGAAAAACAACCAACAGCACTGAACACCTGGCAAATGTGCAACATTTCATAGAATCATAGAATATTACAGTGCAGAAAGAGGCCATTCGGCCCAAGTGCCTGTACCGACTCTTTGAAAGAGTCCCACTCCCCTGCTTGTTCCCCATAACCCTGCAAATTTTTCCTTTTCAAGTACCTATCCAATTCCCTATGGAAATTTCGCAGGATTGGTTTGTGTGAAGAAGACCCTTCGGCCCAATTGTCTTATCCTTCCAGAATCCCCTTCCAACCCTCCTCCTAGTACAGCATCACGCTGTTTCTTGAATGGGTCCAGGATCTTCAACCAAAGGCATCAACCACCCTCCTGATAACCCATTGTTATCCACCCTCTGGGTGAAGGAGTACTTCCTGGTCTTTATCCTTCCTCATCTGTTATCCAAGCACTGTGGGATGCTACCGAACACGAGGGGTGCTATATAAATGCAAGCTGTTGTTATTCCATCCCTCTCGCTCCCTCCTTCCCCCTCCCTATCTCTCTCCCGCTCCCTTTCTTTGTAGCAAAAGAAATCGCAGCAAAGTGCGGGTTTCTGCTCACCCAATGGGCTCCCGTTTGGTGAAGGTCAAGTTGCGGTTTGGTCGTGCCTGGTTGATGGGGATGGTGGAGCCCTGGAGCGAGAAGGGAAGATAGATGTTTTGGTTTGTTTCAGAAATCAACGGCTTTGCCAGCGAGTGTCTCTGTGGAAACCAGTGCTCATCGTCACAGCCGCCTGGGAGCTATTCCCAGGTCCGTGGTTGGGACCTGATCTCAGAGCCTGTACTGTGCTATATGGACGAGCCCAACACACAAGCAGATGACCAACCTGAATCTTGTCACACCAGCCGGCAAAATAGCGGAAGGTCTGGATAGACATCCCCACGTGGGTTTTCAGAGCCAGGGTGTAAACAGCCCCCGAGTCCACGGCCTCGATGGTGGCCAACTCCTCCTGGTGCTGCTCCATCAGCTCAGCCAGCCTGCGGGGGGAAGGCAGGAGACATCTCACAGCGACCTTACTATACCATCAGGCCGACTGACCACTGAGTCACATACACTCTCGCACACGCACACACTCGCACACTCTTGCACACACACTCGCCACACACACGCTCGCACAAACACACACACACACACACGCACACACAGTTGTTCAGCGTGAGTGTGAGCAGGTTGTTCAGTGTGACTGTGAGCAGTTTGCTCAGTGTAAGTGTGAGCAGGTTGTTCGGTGTGAGTGTGAGCAGGTTGTTCGGTGTGAGTGTGAGCAGGTTGTTCGGTGTGAGTGTGAGCAGGTTATTCAGTGTGAGTGTGAGCAGGTTGTTCGGTGTGAGTGTGAGCAGGTTGCTCAGTGTGAGTGTGAGCAGATGTTACCCCTCTCTTACATGCCGCGTGTCACTAGACATAAAGAATATATTTTGTAGTCCGGTATCATGTCTCCCCAGTCTTGTTCCTCCCTCCTGACTCCACCTCCTGAGGGGCTGATTCCATCCATTACAGTTACTATGTTCTGATCCAGACGCAGTGAAGCCGGGACAGTGCTGTGTACAGAAACCCTCACCTGGTCTGTTTGACAAGACAACTTACTTGTACATTAACCGGCCCCGGTCTCGGGGGTTCATCTTTCCCCACTCTCCATTCTCAAACGCCTCCTTTGCAGCAGCAACAGCCTTGTCCACGTCAGACACCTGGGCCAGGGACACCGTGCAGATAACCTGTGCGTGAGAGAGAGAACGTGGGAGAACCTGTGCGTGTATTTGAATGAGAGCTAGTGTGAGAGCGAGCTAGAGAGACCCAGTCAGTGTGACCAGATGCGTATGAGAGCTAGCGTGAGAGCTAGCGTGAGAGCTAGCGTGAGAGACCAAGTGAGTGTCAGTATACGTGTGTGTGAGACAGAGAGCAAGCATGAGAGAACACTTGAGACAACAACAACAAGATTACATTTGTTTAGCACCTTTCACGTCAGGAGGACGTCCCAAGGCGCTCCAACATTTCAGTGTACAGCATTTCAGACCCGAGCTGGGGTTGGGAGGGGAAGGGAGAGGAGGGGAAGGGGGGTGGCCGGTGGCATAGTCGAAGAGGAGGGATTTGAGGCGGGACTTGAAGGAGGCTAAGGAGGGGGTGAGGCGGAGTAATTGGGGGATGGAATTCCAGAGGTTGGGGGCAGAGTGGCTGAAGGATCTCCCGCCAATGGTGGGGCGGGTGGGTCGGGGGGATGTGGAGCAGGCCAGAGCCGGCTGAGCAGATGGAGCGGGCGGGGTGGTAGGAAATTAGGACGTCACAGAGATAGGGTGGGGCGATGCCATGGAGGGCTTTGTAGGTGAGGACTTGGATCTTGAACTGGATCCTCTGAAGGATAGGGAGCCAATGGACTCGGGTGAGAATGGGGGAGATGGGGTCACGGAATTTGGTGCGGGAGAGGACACGGGCTGCAGAGTTCTGGATTATCTGCAGCTGTGGAGGGAGGAGTTGGGAAGGCCGAGAAGTAGGGCATTTGCATAGTCAAGCCTGGAGGTGATGAAGACATGAACAAGAATTTCAGCGGCCTGAGGGGTGAGGTAATGGCGGAGTTGGGCGATGTTACAGAGGTGCTTCGAGACATGTTGACATGATGAGAGGCTGTATCAAACGTAAGGAATTTTATTACTGTTACTAAATTGTCCCACAGTAATCAGCAGGCTACGTTTAGGCAGATGTTTGTGCACGTCGTATTATACAGTGGGCCACTTACAGATCCGTCACTTGGGTTGATAGTGTCGTATACTTTGTCTCCTTCAGTATTAACGAACTGACCGTTAATGAAAGCCTGGTGAGGCATTCGAATAGTCATGTTATTCACATCCATCTGCGCCTGTGGAAACAATCAAAGCAAAAAAAAGCAATTCAGAGGCAGGTGGAAACCTGCGCCGTGTAATTTCACCTCCCTCGACCTCTCTATCTCTATCGCTCCCTTTCTCTCCGACTTCAAGTCCTGCCTCAAATGCTACCTCTTCAAATCCACCTTCTCCCGCTCGCCCTTACTTGTGGGAGGTCGAACTCCGTCCCTGTGCAGCTAGGTGTTATCCGACGTGAAAGGGGCTATACAAGGTGAATCAGTAGTCCTTACTCAGAAGAAGATTTAATTATCGATGATGTGTTTTTTTTTACAGACAACATTGGCAGAGAGTGTGCAGCGATTACAGGAGATATCTTTCATTGTGTTCGTGAAAGTATTTTCGTCACCGAGTTGATATGTGTAAACGTTTCCGTGCAGTTTGAACATCTCATACAGACCTACGAGCAAGAACGTTTGATTCACCCTGTTTAAATGCAAGCCTCGTTGCTGTAATTTGTCGGGGGGGACAGCTTTGTAACAAATCTTTAAAGATTTGTTATCGACCAGCACTACATACGTAATCTATAACCATCTCCTCTTCATCATCCTCTCCCCGCAGCTTCCTCACGAGCATCTGCATGAACTCCTCGAACGTGGTGGCCATGTAGACGTCTTCGTTCTGCAGCTGAAGACCATTACACCTCAGCTTGATTTCCTCCACCAACCTGCAGGCAACAATGAAGGAGATCCCAACAACTACTTGCATTTATACAACGCCCTTCAAGCTGGATAGCTTCCCAGAGAGCTCGACAGTGACAGAACACAACTGGGATGGCTTCTCCACACATCTGCTCCTCACTGTGATCACCTGAAGATTTCATTATTCCTGGATCTCCTAAAGACCCAGTGTTTTCCACGACCCCGTGAATCACTTCCGATCGGGGGAGAAGTTCAAAACCACTTACGGAAATACCAGCTTCCAAACAAGGCTGAAAAAATGCCAGATTCAGGAGGGCTGGGAAATGTTTTTCCCAGAGAGTTGTTCCGATCTGGAATGAAATGGCGGTGGAAGCAGATTCAATAGTAGCTTTCAAAAGGGAAAGGGAAAATTTACAGGCTTTTGGGTAAGAGCGGGGAAGTGGGACTAGTTGGGTAGCTCTTTCAAAGAGCCGGCCACAGGCACGATGGGCTGAATGGCCTCCTTCTGTCCTGTAAGATTCTACGATTCTAAATAGAGTAAATCCAGACCCAGGTAAAATTTCTTTCCTCCAGGTTTTGAAACCCTAAGTTCTGGTCACAGCTGGTTGAGTTTCCTCTTCACTTGGTGAAGAGCAAAAGCCCACGCTAGAGGTCGGGAGCAGGGTGTGGAGAAAAAAAACTCTGCCTTCGCTGTGCGTTTCACGGCTGAAACTGGGTTAGTAACCTAACCATTACCTGATCACATCCATAGAGGCAGCTCCCGACTTGAAAAAGTCAGTGGAATCTTCGATTTGTTCTACGTTCGAGAGGATGCTCTTCCAGACGACCTGACAACAGACACAAACAGGGAAATGAAAACCTCAAAGAGGCACATTCCTAAATCAGCCAATTTCAAACCTCAAAGTTTCAGGAATAATTATTCCCTCTTGTTGGGGGTTGCGTTCTTGTTCCCGGGGATAGTACCCGTGTGAGGTATTGTGAACCTGGGGTGAAGTTGTCTTGAGTTCAGCGACAAACTGAGCAAGAACAATAAAGTGCAGGTACACTCATCAGAGAAATGCAGCCGTATATTATATAGATGTGTGTGTGTGTGTGTGTCCCTGGATTTTACAAAATATAGTCACTCGAATTTACAGCCACCAGAGGGACAAAGAGAGAGAAAGAAAGAAAAGGCTGAGTGAGAGAGACAGAGAGACAGAGAGAGAGAGAGAGAGAAAGGAAGAGAGATAGAGATTTAACATAGCGAGAGAGAGAGAGAGCAAGAGAGAAACGGAGAGAAATAGAGGGACAGATAGACTTGAACCCGGGATATTCACAAGATTTAATGACTTACTCTGAGTTCCTGTTTTATTTTCAGCTCCTCCTCGGTGAGCTCCACTGAAGAGCTCTCTGAAGAAGTAAAATACTTGGAGGCTGGAATCATTTTCCCATCTTCAAACTGGAGGCTTTTGACCAAGACCTGGAAACGAAAACCACAAGCTTTTGGTCTATTTATATTAAACAGGGTCTCTGTTCCTCTTGTAATAAATGGCAACTCTCAACCACAGAGCCGTGGGTGGGGGAGCAATCACATATTTTCCCATACATTTACCCTGCAATGACCCACGCTGTGAGATGCCTGCAATCGGTATCACGCGATGAAGCCAAGGTTGGGGCAGCGTGGCTGCCTTGGTGTGGTAAGGAGGCTTACGGACCAGGAGGGTTGCGGGTTCGAACCTGGTGAAAGTCCAATGGTTTCTTACCATTTTACCATCTTTGCCGAACAGTATCAGGCCACTCTTGGCCACCAAGGCCGGCTGGTTAGCCCCAGCAATCTCCAAGGCCTGGCCCTCAGGCAGGGCACCGGTGAAGAGGGTTGAGCCGAAAAATGTCAATTTCTGAAATGAAATGGAGACGAGGGTGAGACGGGTCAAGAAACCACAAACAACTTGTTTTTTGGGGGATGTGGGGGGGGGGGGGGGAGGGGGGGCACTGCTGTGCGCAATTTTTGCTGCCGAGTTTCGCCCACAAAATACGCAGTCAATCCACTCGACCATATATTCTGTGAAGCACCATGCGACTTCTCAATGACGTGATAAGACGCTATATGAAATGCAAGGATTATTATTGTTATTAAATCGCGGGAAAAAAAGGCCATTCATATCAATATCTTGTCCACTTCCCAAGCAATTTCATCTCCTCTCTCCTCTCTCCTCGCCCCCTCGAGCATTATTCATCCTCAGCTAATTACCTTCTCCTGACCCTCATCAGCTCAGGAACCACAGTCATCCACACGGTGTTCCATCATCGCTCACATTTCCACGTAATGTTCCTCAATAACTTCCTGATTACTCAACCAACTCTTAACGCTAAAGAAACTGACGTCACCGACACCTGCGCAGGAATGAGGAAGGACGAGCCCGTCTGCTAGGTCCGTTCTCCTCAGCCAACGCTTCGCTGAGTCAGGTTGACACTCACATGTCCATTGACCTCCGACCAGGCTCCAGGGACTTTGTCGTTGCCTCGGATCCAGTTATGAATGGCCTCGGCCGGCTGATCCCAGTTAATCTAAACAAGCAGGAAAACAAGAGAGTGCACGGTTCAATCTGTACCGCTCTGTGGGTTGCAAATCGTGTCTCGAAACTTTACACAGCAGTTACGGATGGCATCGGCTCTGCTCACAGCTCCTGGGCCAAACGGGCCTGGGAAAGTGACGGGTTCACTTCCCGGTTTATTTTGAGCTCACTGAGCTCAGCCGGTGTGACAGTAAGGAAGTTATAAATAGTCTCGGCATCCCTCTCCTCGGTCAGGAAGACTTGTGCTGGAAAGTTCATGCGTGCGCGCATGTGTGTGTATGTAGAAGTATCCATTGAGTCCATGTGTATCAGTGAGTGCGCGTGTGGGTTGCGTGTATGTTGTATGGGTCTATACTTTGGGCTTGCACAATAACAGTGTCCACTTGGGTCAGATAACGTAATGGAGGCTGGCATCTGCTGACCTACTTCCCAGCAAACGAGTGAACCTTCTAGGCAAGTCTTATTGTGAAGCACACAAGAGGGATAAGTGGAAGAAAGAGAGAAATGAACAGAGGTGACTCAGGACCTTTGCGTTCTCCTTCTTCTGAATTCCCTCATAACTCGCTCCCTCCTCCGGCTGCTTGATCCTTGGAGCTTTCCCCTGAGTGATGAGTTCCACAGCCTCACCCTGGAAAAGGTGAGACAGGTGTGAGCTAAACACAGGGGGATGGGATCCGGAAAAGGGCAGGTAAATGGGACTGAAAGGTTCTCTCTTAAAGAGCCGAATGGTATTCTTGCTGTAAATTTCTATGGTTCTAATCGCTCTAATTGCAGCCCCGGTTATACTTCATGTCACTCACTACTGCACTCTCTTTCTCTCTACCACTTATTTTCTCTCACTCCCGCATTCTGTCCCTCTCTCTCAAATACAGTCGGACTCAGCCCGAGGTCATGGACTGCACAGGGCTGTTTAGAGCTTCCCTGTGCTGCGATGTAAGGAGCTGCCAATAAACAGGTGAATTAGGATCAGTTTAGTGCTGAGTCCATAGTCATGAAGACCCGAGCGGAGACTGTCTCAAACTCATTTCACAGAGAACCTTCACAATCCGCTGTGAGAGAGACTGCCTCCAGTCTATATATATAGGACTGTCTATATCATTTTCAACTCCTGTTGGTTTCTACCATTCATCTGTATTGGTCAGGTTCACATAAAGTGCTCACTGTAAGCACCAACACTCAACATCTGGCTAAAGCCTTCGCTCACTGAGTCTTTTTCGTCTCCTTCCGGCGTGAAAGGCGCTATACAAATTTAATTTTGCTGTTGCTTTTTCTTGCGCCTTTCACTGTGCCTCTCGCTGTGCTTCTCTGTGCCTCTCGCTGTGTGCCTACCATGCTTTTAATGCCCTCGGGGAACAGGAATCGTTTGTACAGTGTGTTGACCGTGTCGTCAGGATAGACCTCACATTCCTTCTGCAAGAGGACAGGACCCGTATCCAATCCCTCATCTGCCCAGAAGATAGAGAAGCCGCCCTTCTTATCTCCATGCATCAGAGTCCTGCAACAAACATAGACTGTTATAGTAATAATATAATAATAATCCTTGCATTTGACACAGCGCCTTATCACGTTGTTGAGACGTCTCAAAGCCCTTCACAGAATATACTGTAACGTGAATTGACTGTATATCTTGTGAGTGAAACGCGGCAGCCAATTGCGCACAGCAGCGTCCCACAAACAGTCGTGGATTGAATGACCACATTTTGTTTGGAGGGATTATTATCCCCTGGAAAGCATCCGCCAATTGACTAGTTGCTGGGTAAACAGACGGGTGTGGGATAAGGAAACTTGCCTAAGGTTTCACCCTGCCCAGGAATTTAACGAGGGTCCTCTCGCTTGCGAGGCAATCACTCTAACCACCAGCGGACACCTGTATCTCAGTCTCCATCACAGCATCGCTGCATTTAGCCCACCTCCCGGCGGATTGTAAAACAAGCCCAATTTACAAATTAAGATCGAATTGATTGCGTGTGTACTAATGTGCGTGCAATCCCACGCTACAGCTTCTCGAGGTTTTAACATCTTGCCAGACACCAACTCTCTCGCTCCTGGGTTCCTACTCTTACCAGTTGATGGCAGACGCCCCTCTGTGCCTGGGTAGCAGAGATGGGTGGTAGATGATCGATCCATGTTTGGGAAAGTCAATCACTTCCACCGGAATAAACTGGGAGCAGAAAGGCAGCACGTTCAACTCTGCTCCCAAAGCTCGGTACTCATTCACCACTTCTAGGATTGCCTTCCCTTTCAGCCTCCAGCGTGGATACTTAAACACTGGGGTGCCGTCCTTCACACCTTCTGTGGCTGAAGAGACGATATCGCAATGGATAAAATGCACAAGTAAAATACAAATATAAATGACATGCATTCGTATAGTGCCCGATCATATCAAAACAGCTCAAAGCGCTGCTAGTAATCACAGTCAAATGTAAGGCTGTATATGTAGGCAAATGCAAGCCTCACAAACAGCCACTGGAGGATTTGTGGCTAAGGCACTGTGAGAAACTCCCTTCTCTTTTGAATATTACCGAGAGATCTTTAACACCAAATTGAGTAGGCACAGACATGAGCTCGGTTTAAGGTATCATTAAAAGAACGACACTTCCGATAATAATAATAATCCTTGCATTTGATATAGTGCTTTTCACGTCTTTGAGACGTCTGAAAGCGCTTCACAGAATATACTGTAAAGTGAACTGACCAAATTATAAGTGGGTTTTTTTTTCCTGAGGGATTATCAGGCGTATGGAGTAAGGGAACTTGCGCAAGGTTTCACCCTGCAGGGAGGTAGAAAGGTTCAATTTGAGGGTCAAACAAGACGCTAAGGTTGCGGATTGGCTCAGTGAGTTGGAGTGTGGGTCTAAGGATGGTACCAGCGGCTGAAGTGTGATGACGGGAGCCAACCAGGAGGGCCTCGGTCTTGTTGACTATTCATTACCTATAGCTTAACATGTAAAGTACCAAACCCACTGTACTTACCCAGTGGATCTTCTTTGCCATCTTTGTCAGGGATTGTGAATATCCCCACAATCTCATGTCCTGCCTTCTTGACTTCCTTGTACACCTCGAGGCCAAAGAGACTCTGTCCAATGATTGCGATCTTCATCCTTTACACGAACGGAACGCTCAGTGTTACTGTACGTGGTGAGAATTGACCGTTTAATAGTAAATGACAACAGCAAATTGGACTTGTAATAACGTCCTTCACGTCAGAAAGACGTCCCAGGGCACTGGACAGTCAGGGGTTTTTGGACCCGAGCTGGAAGTTGTGGAGGAGGTGATGTTATCACACCAAGATAACTGTCATTTATTGCTGCAGTGTCCATCAATGCTTTGTCTAAAATGGTATCTGTTTCTTACAGACAAATAGAGTCAGCTCAGGGGGAAGACCACAACAACAACAACAGCTTGCACTTTTATAGCGTCCTCGACGCAGGGCTGAGTCTCCGGAGTACTTAACCAGACAAGCCTCGGTGAAGACACAGATAGAACAGAAAAAAGAGAAGCTCCGAGGATGAGGATGGATCTTAAGTGAAGAGGAGAGGCTTATGCAGAGAGGGATTTGCATTCAGTGGAGAAACGAAGATGGGGACATGACCCAGGTGTCTAAAATAATGGGAGAAAGATACATGGTTTTAATTAAACACTCAAGTAATTAAACAACAACCAGCAAGCGCAGAGATGGGATTCCTGTTTCAATTTATCTCCCAGCAACATATCGCTCACAATCATAAAACAAGCAACATATGTTAAGTTTCAATAGACTTTACCAGGGGAACAGCCTGCACTGTAGAGAATGATGGCATCTACAAAGAGTTTGTCACATTTCATCCACAAAATACACTTTACAGCAAACTCCAAGAAGCCCTTTGAGACGTCTCAACTACATGATAAGGCCTTATATCAAATGCAAGGATTACTATTATTATTATTATCACAGTTCTGTTCTGCAGGAATTAACTGACATGGTATCACCTCATCCCAGATCGTTTCAAGCAGAAGTGAAAAACTAAACACTTTCTCACACATTCCCCAATCTGTACATCCCGTAGAAGAAAAGACACCACGCAGTGAAACAACTTACTCGTCAAAGTTTGACTGTTAGAAAGTTACCAGTAACTAATGTCAACACTATGGAAGGGGGTTGGTTGGGGGCGTGGGTGGGAAGGCGGAGAGAAGGGTGTTTTCTGGGCGTCAGGTCTGATCAAGCCTTTCTGACCATTCACCAACGCAGAACCTTATCTCCCTGAGGAGTGATTGACCCGGGTTTACCTCTAGTGACTGGCAAAGACATCCATTGGAGGAAATCAATCGCATGAATTGACCAAACTAACCAGTGCTCGTTAATACATGAATTTTTGAATTAATAATCTACACCAGCAACAACTACAACAACTTCCATTTATTCAGCGCCCCTCACACAGGGCAGTGTTCCAGAGCCTTCGAATTATTGAATTAATAATCTATATCATCGTACTAGAATTCCTCCTACAACTAATAATCTGTGCATTTGGTGCTCTTACAGTGAGAAAGAGAGAGAGAGAGAGAGAGAGAGAGAGAGACAGATTGCACAACAGTTTTCTTAATTATTGACTTTCCAAAAGTTTATTGAAGTGCTAAAGTCAATTCCAACCAATGCAGTAAACACGATACAAGTAATGCTTTAATCTCCAGCCTGCCTTTTTAATTGGAGAAAGTAACTTGGAATAGCGAGGAAGCTTTCTGGAAAGCACTTCATGCTGCTGGCTCGAATTCGTTACATAATTAAGATTGCTGCTTCGAAAACTTTGCATAAAATAAAGCGACTTGCATTAGAATAAACTCGACCCCAAATAATATATATGGGCAACACACACACAGAACCACACACACACACCAGAGCATAACGAATCTGTATTGAATAGAAAAACTTGAAAAGATTACTTAAACACAGATCTACACACACACACACACACACACACCAGAGCATAACAAATCTGTATTGAATAGAAAAACTTGAAAAGATTACTTAAACACAGATCTACATCACCACACAACCCCATCAGGTCTGTTTTGCTGGAATAAATAGAAAGAAAACACACAGTTTGAATCAATGTGATCAGAAAGGTTATTAAAGTGCAAGTTAAATTGTTTGCATGGGCAACTCGCCTATTATTATAGTTATTATTATCATTATTATTATTATTGTCAATCCTTACCTACCTTGCCCTGGATTTATATACCTAAACCTGCCAGTTTTTGCACAGAAATTGCAATTAATTAATAGAAGGAAACAGTTTAACAGTGAGAAAACGATCAGAAACAAAGTTCAAACAGACATTACGCAATGACCCGGTTATAAAATTGCCAGAGAGTAATCTCACTTGACTTACGGATAGACTGTGAGGCTTCTGTGTGTGTGTGACTATGTTTTCCCAGTGTTTTAACATAACGACAGGAGCCCTGAGACTGAAAGTAAACACACCATTGGTCCAGGCGATTAGTTTGGCTTCATCCCAGGGATAGAGGGAGAGGGAGGAGAGAGGGACTTGGAACAGAAAGAGAGAAAGAGGGGAGGAGACAAGAAAGAGAGAGAGAGGAGAAGATACAAGAAGAGAGAGAGAGAGAGAGAGGGGGGGTGGAAGATAGGGAAGGAATTCTATTGCATAGAACTACATAGAGCGTACAGTACCCTTCGCATTTATAATCATCCTTGCGCGTGATATAGCGCCTTATCACGTCTTCGAGTCGTCTCAGCACCAACATTGTCCATTCAGCCCAACTGGGAGGGAGGAACAGAATGATAATAATAATCCTTGCATTTGATATAGCGCCTTATCATGTCTGCGAGACGTTTCAAAGCGCTTTGCAGGGTACGCTGTAAAGAAAATTGACTGTACATTTTGTGGGTGAAACGCAGGAGCCAATTGCGCACAGCAGCGTCCCCGCAAACAGTCGTGGATTGAGTGACCATATTTTGTTTGTATGATGGACAGTGATCAGGAGTGGGACTCGGGTTGGTTTCCTCTCCTCAAGCTTGGGAAGTTGAGGCCGAATGCAGCCTCAACAGAAGGAAGGAAATAGGGAGGGAGAGAAGGAGGAAGGGTTTGTGCGGGCTGAGGGGTCGGGGTGCTCATTGCCTAGAGATGCCATGTGGGAAGAGACGCATCACTTTTTTGTGATAGATTAAGCGGAGTCCTGTAGCTCAGTGGTTAGAGCACTCGCCTCGCAAGCGCGAGACCTGGGTTTGATTCCCGGACAGGGCGAATCCTTGAGCAAGTTTCCTTAGTCCACACGCCTCCGTTTACATAGCAGTCAGTAGTAGCCCGGTTAGTCGATTGGCGGATCGCTTTTCCGGGTGTAATAATCCCTTAAAAAAATCGCCTAATCCACGACATTTTGTGGGACACTGCTGTGCGCAATTTGCTGCCGTGTTCCGCTCACAAAATATACAGTCAATTCGTTTTACAGTGTATTCCATGCAACGCTTTGAGACGTCGCAAAGACGCGATAAGGCGCTATGTCAAATCCAAGGATTATTATTATTTTTTATCAAGTGTTGGTTCTTGTTAGAGCCAAGTTGAACATGACCCTATCCTTGCCCAAAGCCACATGTAACATTAGTTAGGGGGGTGGGGGGAGAGAGTGCTGGATTCCTATGGAAACCAATTTTTTTTTTGGTCGGCTGACACCCACAAGATTAATTCGGATGAATAAAGACCTTTGACTAATCTGTTCTCCTCCTTAGATTACCCACCCTATCGTTTTTCCCTTCACAGCATCAAATCGTTTTTTTTAAGCAAGTCCCAGAGTCCTGGCCTCAACTCACCACCTTTCCTGTTCTGTTCCAGTTATTAGTTATCCTCTGGTTAAAGAAAAACTTCCTGGAGTCTGTCCCGAAATTGCCCTTTGCAACTTTAAACCTTTCGCTCACAAAATGCACAGTTAATTCACTTTACAGTATATTCCGTGAAGAGCTTCGAAGACGTGATAATAAAATAAATAATAATCATCCTTGCATTTGGTATAGTGCCTTATCATGCAAAGTTGCAAAGGGCAATTTCGGGACAGACTCCAGGAAGTTTTTGTGTGTGTGTGTGTGTGTGTATGTGTGTGTGAGTGTGTGTGTCAATTTGTGTGTATGCCTTGGGACATTCTGCTGATGTGAAAAGCGCTTACAAATGTAATTTTGTTGTTGTTGTTCTTGTGTGTGTGAGTGTGAGTGAGTGTGTGTGAGTGTGTGTGTGAGTGTGTGTGTGTGTGTGTGTGTGTGTGTGTGAGTGTGCAAAGCGCTGAGCAAAAGGTCACCTTCACTGAAGTGAATGATTGATTGACATTCTTTTATCGACTCTTAAACGAAAGTGTTTGATGCTCTCACTTTAGAAAGCAGAGTCATGCTTGCCAGTTGCTTTACGCTGAAGGAACCACAGCAGCTCAGCACTGCTCAGCTCCGCTAGTTAATGTGTAACAATCGCTGCTGAAACGCAAGGTCATCGTTTCTCGCTGTGACCTTCAGCTGAGAGCAGCTGAGGCAGGAGAATATCAGATTCTGCGAATCCCAAACTCCTGACTCCAAGCAAAATAATCCTTATCCCTGGAAAATTGTTTGCTTCTCAGAGCAATTCTCTTTCTGCACCAACTCATCCCAAAACTTCTCAGTAAAAACATATCCAACATTACATAACTCGCACTCTGCCTTCTCTGACTGTGATTTAAAGGTAACTGATAACAGCTTAACCTAAGGTAACCTGTAGACCTGTAGAAACACTGTACAGATAGATGTAACAGATAAACAGGACAGAGAAACAGGTGAGTGTGGGGGCGGTGGGGAGGGCAGTTTGTGTTCGATGCTCATTTCTCCTGTCGTCTCTCACTAACAGTTTAAGGTCATTGACTCGGGAGTGATTGAGAGACTCAAGGTCTCTTGGTTTGACGTTTGCAGAAAACGCCATTTATACAGTAACCAGTCAGATACAATCCCTTATTTGTTGGCTTGAATTTAATAATATTTCTGCTCTTGGAAAAAGGGGGAATGAGCCTTGCGGCTGTGATTTCAGGCGCTGTCGTGCGCAAGTAAGACTTTCTGACAACTTTTCGCAGTTGTTCCAATGGCTTGCAAACAAAGAAACAAAAGACATATTTGCTCAAAGGTTTGAGGGATGTTAAGGTTTGTTGTATCGAGTCTGTACGTAGCAGTGAGGCACATTACGCTCCAGGAATTTGACAGTCTAGAGGGAGCTCTACTCCGTCTCTCACCCATGCATCAGGCTGACCTGGGAGGGCTGAATGGAAAGTGTAGAGGGAGCTCAGAGATCAGCCAAATAACATTGTGAGTACAGTAACAGTGCAGTGAGGTATGTTTGAGATGACGAAGGGTTGCGTTGAAGCTGATCCGGGAGTCGTGCTCACTGTAGCTGAGGTGTAAATACCAGAGAACACACTGCGTAAGGAGGGAGGTGATGTGTAAACCTTCTTACACCTCGGGTAATAGACCTGGAACCTTCGGGTGTCAGCCAGGCTCAGTTGGTAGCACTCTCACCTCGGAGTCAGAAGGTCGTGGGTTCAAGCCTCACGTCAGGACGTCGAGCTCACAGTCGAGGCTGACACGCCAATGCAGTATTGGGGAACGTTGTATTGTCAGAGTTCCCACCTGTCTGTTCGTGTGGGTGTTCAACCCATGGGACTACTTGAAAAGAGAAGGGAGTTTCTTCCAAGATTGTGGCCAACAACTCCTCCAAATAAAAGTCGTTCACTCCATTTGGGACATTGCTGTGCTTAAATTAGCTGCCACATTCGCCCACAAAATACACAGTCACTATACTTTGCAGTAAATCCCGTGAAGGGACGTCCTCCTGAATGAAAAGATGCCATAACGAATACTAGGATTATTATTGTTGTTACTAGAATACGTTAGCAGGAACAAGGACCGCAGCACCTAGAACGAACGAAAGCCTAAAATAGCATAAAAATAGAACGTAAAGAAAGCAGGGAACTCAAAGAAATAATTGGAGTCATCAAGTGAGCTCTGGTCTCTCGTGGATTCCACCCCCCCCCTTGCTTTTGGCAACGCATAAATCACTATCCTCAGTGGAGTAATTAGTGGTTTCCGTGAAAATCTATCTCTATATCCTCTAATACAGTACCAAACCAAAAATAAGTAGCTGAGGGATGAGGGATTAACAGTTATGATTAAAAGGCGGTTGAAAATCACAAAGGAATGGACTGGTTGGGCCTAATTCCTAAAATGCAATGCACCAGCTGAGCTGAATGTGCTGCTTTCTATGTTTTTCGTGTTGTTCGATGTTATTCCACGACTCAAAAGGATCACTGGTTTGCCAGTCCGCAGCACCGTAGGATAACCACGAGGCGGCAGCAATAAGCCAGGCAGGGAATCAACCACAGTGGCTCTGAGCAAACAAACTGTGAGTTTGGTTTGCTCTACAGCTGAAAAGGGGATAGAGAGAGCAGGGGAATGGAGAGAAGGAAGGATAGAGAGTACGGGGCAAGCACTCCAGGACGCTACCTTGTGTGAATGCAAGTTGTTGTTGTTGTTGGACAGGAAGAACAGAGAGTACGAGGGATGGAGAGAACTGGAGAATAAAGCCAATGAGGGAATAAGAGAACAGTGGGATAGAGCCTTGATTCTTGCCGACCTGCGCCTAATACTTTCCGGAATTAGGTAAACAGGAAGCGTCCCTCCAGAGAGAGAGAGAGAGAGAGAGAGCACATTCCATTCCAACAATCTATCTCTGGAATTCCCATGTGTAGGTGGAATAAGTGGGAATTCTCAGTTTGGTGATGGGTTTCCGCAAGTGTCACACCTGGCCGACCCCCACCCGAAAATAACTGGAAGCTGACAGTCAGGTTCATAAAGTTATTAAAGAGCTGAGTCCGTCTCCACTAACGTTAGCGCTCGCAAGCTGTGAAAGCCTAACGGTGACCCACTAACTCCCGAGCCACAAACCCTAACCCTAAACATGAGGTGGTGGCATCAGTAACATAAGTTGTGTAAAAGTATCAGCAGCAATTTAAACCCTTGCCAAACAACCCTGATCGTAACACAGGAAGCATTTGATACGATTCTGTTCAGCCTGGTTGGAATCAGCTGTGCTCTAAGCTGACATATACCCTCGCCTCAGGTTCAGGCTTTTGAAATGGAACCAACTTCCTTCTAAGTGCAGTTGAGGAAAGACCCAAGCAGGAATGTACTGCACTGGAATGCAACAGCACTGGAGGACAATTCATTCCCCGTGAAATGCACATTAAAGTATTCCTTCCTTCGATTTAATAAATGTTCCTTCTGACTCGCTGTTAATTATCATTTGGGGGTGGGAGTTTGTGTAATGATCCTTACTCTGGTCACTCACTGCTTTTGACAGTCGCTCAGAGCGTTAGAGATGTGTGTCTATATTGAACCGCACATGGATCAGTT